AAGGCCTGAAATAGATTCTAGATGTAGAATTTACATTAAGTCTAGATCTAGAATTTACATTGAGTCTAGTGACCTACATCTAGGCTAGATCTAGATCTAGGCTAGATTCATAACTTTCCTTCGACAGCTGATCTTTAGATCTAGAGAAATTTAATTGTAAAACTAAATGAAAAAAGACAGTTTCAAATTGATATTAGTGTTGGAACGTAATAAATACAGCAAACGGACGTATTGTTAAAGTTATGACCGACAGAAAATTAGATTTAGAACGCGTTAAACTTTGGAATGGGAACACAATTTTCTTCGATAGACGCCGCCATTTTATTGTACTAAAGAGTAAACAAAAAACTGTGACGTCACGGTCCCGCCGAGTGTAGTGGTCGTTCTAAACTTTTTAAAAAAATGGGTTACTCTGCGTATGAATAAATCAATAAATCAATTAACATCTTTAAATAAATTTGTGATTAACAGTCTGTCTTAAAACAAAAATTTTTCTCTACCTACATACTATTTTACAGCTTTCCACGATGAGTGCAACCATGAGCAATAGTCAATCAGGCAAACAAACAAACAAACAAACAAACAAAAAAAAAATATTCAAACATGTAAACAAACTTGACTTTTAGTAGTATACTAGAATACCCGTCATCCGTTGGATAACTGTGGGTTTCGGGGTCATCAATCAAAAAACATCACGTCTGTCACTCAGAGGCAGAGCGACCCTTCCCGGCGCCCGGGGACAAAGTTTTCGATTTGAACCCCCCCCCCCCGCAAGATTTCGATTTGAACCCCCCCCCCCCCCTCAAACTTTTGATGTGCACCCCCCCTCCACTCAAACTTTCGATTTGAACCCCCCTCAACCTTTCAATTTATTTTTCCAAACCATTTTGGCGCCCCAACATATGTCCCCCCCCGCCCCCCCTTCCCCCATCCACCTCCCCCCGCCTCCACTTCCCCCCCCCCGCCTCCCCCGCCTCCCCCGCCTCCCCCGCCTCCCCTCCCCCCCCCCCCCCCCCCCGCCTACCGTCCCCCTCCCCCTCCTCGCTACGCTACTGCAGTGTCACTTATCGTCACAAAAAACAGACCCCACATTCAAAAATATGTTTTTTATCTTTTAAAAACACCGAAAACACCGATTTCGGACTATCCCTTCATATACTGACGTCACATGTGACCTACTCAACTCTACTTCACCTGCCCAGTGTCCCGCCAAGTCTCAGACAACATGTATTTATCGTTTAAAAAACGATTCCAGCCGAGCATGTCTCTGACCACACTATCCTTTCATATGCTTAGGACAAAGAAACAGATGAACCCTACTTCACCTGCCCTGTGCCCCGCGAGGTCCTGATAGTCAACCTTATCATTCACATATAGGGCTTAAGAAAAAATAATTGAAAACGTAAAAAAAAAAAGTTCTATTAATTGTTATGACACTGACTTTAAAATTTAGCCTTCATTCTCCAAAGCAAATTTTAAAATGCTTTTCTGGCATATCTAGCCCTGGCCACCTATACCATGTTTAAATAATGTGAACACCCGCCATTTTGCTCGTGGTAAACATGGCCTAAAATGGTCGGAAGTCCTGCGTCCGGTCCGGACGCCATATTGTTGTTAGCAGCCGACCACGCCTCCAAGTCAGTGAGTAATCCTACTATATCTAGATATAGAACCTAGATAAAAAAAAATTCCATGTATTCTCGAATTAGATGATCATTGAAGCTAAACAAAGATTTATATAAAATAATTAAGGCCTGAAATAGATTCTAGATGTAGAATTTACATTAAGTCTAGATCTAGAATTTACATTGAGTCTAGTGACCTACATCTAGACTCGTCTAGGCTAGATCTAGATTTAGATCTAGTCTAGGCTAGATTCATAACTTTCCTTCGATAGCTGATCTTTAGATCTAGAGAAATTTATCGTAAAACTAAATGAAAAAGACAGTTGAAAATTGATATAAGTGTTGGAACGTAATAAATACAGCAAACGGACGTATTGTTTAAGTTATAGCCGGCAGAAAATTAGCTTTGTAACGCGTTAAACTTTTGAATGGGCCACAAAGTCTATGATGGAGTCCGCCATTTTTATTGTACCAAAAAAAGTAAACACATCAAGGGACGTCACTATCCCCACAAAGTTTATTCAAAGTATTAACATTTTTAAAAAAAATACGGTTAATTTAACAATGAATAAATCAATAAATTAATTAACGTCTTTAAATAAATTTGTGATTAACAGTCTGTCTTAAAACAAAATTTTTTCTCTACCTACATACTATTTTACAGCTTTCCACGATGAGTGCAACCATGAGCAATAGTCAATCAGGCAAACAAACAAAAAAAAAAATATTCAAACATGTAAACAAACTTGACTTTTAGTAGTATATAGATAGATTGCCGTCGTGCAAGTCTTGATCTCACGACACATTAGGTTATACTGCCGTCTTGCAAGTCTTGATCTCACGACATATTAGGTTATACTGCAGTCTTAAAAGTCTTCATCTTACGACACATTAGGTTATACAGCCGTCTTAAAAGTCTTGATTTCACGGCACATTAGGTTATATTGCCGTCTTGCAAGTCTTGATATCAAGACGCATTAGGTTATACTGCCGTCTTAAAAGTCTTGATTTCACGACACATTAGGTTATACTGCCGTCTTAAAATTCTTGATTTCACGACACATTAGGTTATACTGCCGTCGTGCAAGACTTGATCTCACGACACATTAGGTTATACTGCCGTCTTGCAAGTCTTGATCTCACGACTCATTAGGTTATACTGCCGTCTTGCAAGTCTTGATCTCACGACACATTAGGTTATACTGCCGTCGTGCAAGTCTTGATCTCACGACACATTAGGTTATATTGCCGTCTTGCAAGTCTTGATCTCACAACACATTAGGTTATACTGCCGTCTTAAAAGTCTTAATTTCACGACACATTAGGTTATATTGCCGTCTTACAAGTCTTGATATCACGACACATTAGGTTATACTGCCGTCTTAAAAGTCTCGATTTCACGACACATTAGGTTATATTGCCGTCGTGCAAGTCTTGATCTCACGACACATTAGGTTATACTGCCGTCGTGCAAGTCTTGATCTCACGACACATTAGGTTATACTGCCGTCTTACAAGTCTTGATCTCACGACACATTAGGTTATACTGCCGTCGTGCAAGTCTTGATCTCACGACACATTAGGTTATATTGCCGTCATGCAAGTCTTGATCTCACGACACATTAGGTTATACTGCCGTGCCGTCTTGCAAGTCTTGATCTCACGACACATTAGGTTATATTGCCGTCTTGCTAGTCTTAAAACTCACGACACATTAGCTTATATTGCCGTCGTGCAAGTCTTGATCTCACGACACATTAGGTTATATTGCCGTCGTGCAAGTCTTGATCTCACGACACATTAGGTTATATTGCCGTCTTGATCTCACGACACATTAGGTTATATTGCCGTCTTGCTAGTCTTGATCTCACGACACAATAGGTTATACTGCCGTCTTGATCTCACGACACATTAGGTTATACTGCCTTTGTGCAAGTCAAAATTCCCCTACATAGATCTCCCAGAGGTCACATGACATGGAAAGACCGGTTATAATTAAAGGAAAACAGAATATAAAAACTTGCGGACCCACATCACGTGCAACCAAATTAGATCCTGATAAATGCACGTTGGCAGGTAACACTAGTATTGTTTACAAAACTCAATAATTAAAGATTTCTATTAGACTAGAACTGCATGACTAAATATAGTCACACAAACGCAAAGTAATTCGTTTTTGTTTTAAAAGTAATGATAGCGCGATAAACATCATTACTTCAGAAGGAAATATTATTTTAATCTAACTATAAAAATTAATTAATTAATCCTATTCAAACAATTGCATTGTCACCAAGTCCTGACCCACTGATTGAATGCAATCATTCTGGTAGTAGTGGTCAAAATATCGCTCATCAACTCCGACCCAAAGAAATAAACAGATTAAAGAAGTTAATTATATTGTGAAGGAAATAAATGCAGGAATTATTATCAAGCACCTAAAAATTTCGTAAAAATGTAATAAAATAGACAGATGTATTTATCCTAATCTAATAACCTCTAAAATCATTAGAGAATTCAAATGGGGGGACTAAGTTGTCGAGAAACCTTCCATCATATTGTTGACATGTAATAAAAACGAGCTTTTTTTAAAAAGATTTTGCAATCAAAGCGATCATAAAAATAATAAAACATAAAAACTTAAGCCTATAAATTATTCGGAAAGTTAAAGTTTTTAGAATCAATGTTATAACAGTTGTAAATCAAGAGAACTTGAAAGTAATTTCTAATTATTTTCATCAAGCCTTAGTTATAACCGGATGTTTCACTTTCGTAAGACATATATTGATTGGTCCCAAATCAGTTTTTTTTATTTACTAAACTTTGCAGATACAGATATAGTTTCTAATTAACGATGCTAATTTAAACCTAATGACACAGGTCTCCTTTTTTCGCTTTCAATTTGCACAATAAAATGTATGCTAGCCTATCGAATAGCAGGATGCCATTGTTTATGTCGCCATTACACGTGAAAACCAAATTGTCTTTAATTTTCTTTTACTTTTTATTTAGTTACATAAAATATTTTTAAAAAAATACATCCAATCTTTAGTAAAGTCTGAAAAAAACAGACATGATTTTAAAACCATTTTAATTATAACTAAGCCGTGCATGATTTTAAAAATATTTAATGGGCCTCTGGTATACATTTGAGACTTTTTTCGCTCGAGTTCATTGAAGTTTAAGATGTCAAAGTGCGTTCATTGAAATCATTCAATAAACGTCATCAAAAATTGTGTAGCGCAACAATTTCAACATCATGTAAACAAAATGGCGCGACTGTAAATATTTATAAAAATTCATCTTCAACTAAACCAGATAAAGAAAACTGCACCAACCCTCTATTTACCATGGCATTTTATTTAAGCAGTCTCAAACAGGCAGCTGTAGATTTTGTCATGGGTGGGACTACACAGGTAAAGCCTCGGGTAAAACCTTAGTGTAGCGTCGTGAATTCGGCTAAAACAACTTAAGTAATGTGGGAGAGAGTTAATTATTTAGAATTAATGAATCTGGCTTTAAATATGAGTTTATTTTCGTATATTTTAATAAAATATTATAGATAATTAATAATAGATTATCATTGATGGTTAAATCAATTTAAATATCCTGAAATTAATTTTTATCAACCCTGTTCGAGATAGTAACTTATAGTAAAATATTATTTAGAGTAGCTTCCCTTCCATTTCTATTCGTATGGAAATGGATTTTAAATATGATTGTCTTGTATTTGTATAAGCCTACAAAGCATTTTGTTTAAAATTCTGCCATTTAAAAACTGAAATTACTAACAAACAACACCATCAATTCTAGAACTATTGTGAGATGCAACTTGTATCTATGTATAAAATCACTTTTGTGCTAGACATAATGTTTATTTGTTCATTACTTGATCTATAGGCTTACAGTTTGAGTTTTTTAAATTATTGTTTGAGTGTTCGCTATTTTCATTTTAGGTTGTATTTTCCCTTTAGTGATTCTATCTTAAATTATGACAGTTTTTTTTTACTTCTCTTTACCTTAATTAAACCCCAACCTCCATCATATTTCTTTGTCAATGTCAGGACAAGTCATAATCCGGTGCGTTAGGAATACGGCCATCAGCATGGGGCCGCGTTAGAGCACCAGTAGGCTATCGTACTCTGTGAGATAACGTACTTTAATTCAATAGCGCGAAACTGCCCAAAAAATTAGTAATGTTACATCTTTTGAGGACAGTTTTTTGGACTTAAATTTAAATATCATGTTGACTGTCTGGCCTAATACACAGCTCTTAGTTTCGAATATCACATCTAATGTATCAAGATTTAGATCAATAATTTACTTAAAATAAGTGTCTTCTTATCGTCCATTGTGCTTTAATAAAGCGCAGAGCAGCTTCAAAATCGGACGGCCATCCTGTTTTCACCAAGCTTCTTTTGGAGCTTAATATGGGTAGTCTAGTTCTATACGGTGAGAGCTTAAAAGATTTTTAAAGGGCCGAAAGTCTCAAGACAGCAAGCTTGCAGAAATAACCACGTATGTTTAAATGGACGAGGGATAGATGTGTGAGGAGCTGTTTAATTGAACACCAACATAAGTAATCAAATTAAACGTCGCATAAGTGTCAAAACGGCAGTGCTTGTTTTTTCCCATATAATTAGCCAAACAGTCGGCGGTACCGGTACATGCGTCACGCGCGAGCGTTAACTCGGTGACCATGTGCTAAGTGGGGGATAAAACGGTTGGTTTCAAGAAATGCGACTCAGCATGCTAATTACATTTCTTGACCCGTCTCAAAATCACATCGCATGAATTCTACCCAACCTCTCCCCACCACAAATCACAATTTCTATATGAAACAATAGGTTCATCACTATATTTGTTCTGTAATAGTGCCCGCTGTCATAACTATATTAACCCAGTAAGATCGACATCATTTATTTGCGATCTAATGTTGATTTGATTACTGCATAAAAAAAAGTGTTCAAAAGTTCGACCTCCACTCAATTGTTGTGGTCTTGGATGCAAACTATTAAGTCTGAAAATGTCTATTAGTCATTCATTTCAACCATATTTAAAAAAAAAAAATTACAATACAGGCATATATTATAAAAATAAAAATTCATGTTAAACCATAAAATCAACACAACAGATATGCGAATAGACAATTTTTCAAGGGAAACTACTCTATTATTGTTTTTAAACATGGCCGCTGCTTGTATTTACTTATTGTTGTCTCGAACATGGTAGTTTAAAGCTTATTCCAGGATGTTTTTGACTGGCTTGGTCATGGATTGTGATTTATTAATCAATTATCTGTTATATTATGTAAAATATGTCATACATATGGCCAAATGAAAGAAATATTCATTAGTTACCTCTACCGCATATAACTAGTTTCGTTTGAATTTAAGACGCTAAACTAAGGTCTTACCAAGACACGTCCCATAGTGTCCTATACTCACGTCCTATAGTGTCCTATACTCACGTCCTATAGTGTCCTATACTCACGTCCTATAGTGTCCTATACTCACGTCCTATAGTGTCCTATACTCACGTCCTATAGTGTCCTATACTCACGTCCTATAGTGTCCTATACTCACGTCCTATAGTGTCCTATGACAACCTAAGTTCAGTCTGAAGACCTAAACTGTGCATTCTCGACAAGGTTATATTATTGGATGTTTAAAGTCCTCTAAGATGAGTTACTTGCTTACAACATTATCATCTAAAAAGAAGAAGTTGACAAAGTCATACGTAAAACTAAAGATGTGGTTCAGGTATAGAGATTTGTGAGACACACAGGTGCTAGCTGTTTACAACTATATGACATTCTCTCAAAAAACTGCAGATGACTTGGCTAACATAGCAGAAATATGCTTAGTGGAAGTGGATAAAGTGGCCATCTACACACAGTACTTTGATATATTCCTCATAACTTCCACAATCTTTTTTTTCAACGGTCAACATATTAAGGTTGATTGGGGAACACCTGATCACACCAAATTTATTGGTAGTTTCAAGCACAAGCAAGATTTCATTGGTGTTGTTGAAGTAATATATAGAGGTGCAATGAAAGGGAGAGTAAAGGTTGGGAGTCTATTATACCCACAAGATGTTCTAAAATATCACTTGATTTACAAGGTCGCTACGCCTCTGGTGTCTACCAGGCAACTTGTTTAATACAATTTCAGCCTGACTGGAGCCAGCTGCCGAACGAGATTCTGCTGCAAGTCTTCAGTTACCTTAGCAACAGCGACAAGTACCACGCCGCCCTCACCTGCAAGTCCTGGCTCCGCCCACTCTCAGTGCCGTCCCTGTGGCAGTCCGGAGATTTTGTTTTTGACTGTAAAAGCGACGAAAAGGCCATCCGGTTTGTTGACATCACCGGCAAAACATTACGTCATATTAAGGTAGAATGTAAAAAACTTGAAAATCTTCAATTGGGTAAGTCACACAGAGTATAGTAAAAATGTATGTGTATGTATATTAAGAGTATATTACATGTGTAATTTCATGCGTAAATTACACGTGTACTTTAATGCGTAAATTAATTGTGTAATTTCATGAGTAAATTACGTTTGTAATTTCATGAGTAAATTACATATCTAATTTCATGAGTAAATTACTTGTGTACATTCATGAGTAAATTACTAGTGTAGTTTCATGAGTAAATCACATGTAAATTTTCTTGCTTTGAATAGTATTGGAATACCACCCATCTTGTTCCGAGAAGATGTATCTGTTTTTAGCCAGCCTTTTGAATTCAGAGAATCACCAGCTGTTGACCTTCAGACTGAAAAATCTGAGCAGTTTGGAAACGTATTGCGGTGGGGAAAGGTCAACGCCGTTGTCTGAGGTCGCTAAACTCCTGAAGAGATTCTTGAAAGTCCAGCGACAGCTTCGTGTCCTTGACCTTAGCAATAGCGAAAAGTCTGTGAGGTTCTGTTTCAAGGAAATTCTTACCGTGAGGCAAGGTTAGTTAGGACAGTCTAACATCGGGCCTTGAGTGGTGGGCTTACAGGAATTTATAGACCGTTTATGTTGGGCTTAGAGAGATGTGTCAATAGAAACAACACGAGGGGCGGGATAGACGGCGAGACGTTGGGTGTCTACAAGACAGTTCAATTACATAAATGCAGAGGCGTAGCGAGGGGGGGGGGCGTGTGGTGCGGACCGCACCGGGTGACACCATTTAGGGGGGTGACACCAATGCAAAAAATAGCAAAATATAGAGAAAAACTTGAGGGGGGGGGGTGCAAATTGAAAGTTTGAGGGGGGGGGGTGCAAATCGAAAATATGAGGGGGGGGGGTGACACCATTAAGTGCCGCACCGGGTGACACCCGACCTCGCTACGCCACTGCATAAATGTAACAAGGTTTGTCTTTAAGTTGACCCGATTGTGGCTCAGTGGGGTCAATTACTTGTGAAATTTTTATACTGCTAATGTATCAGATAATCAAAACAAATACATGCTAATGTTTCAGATAATCAAAACAAATACATGCTAATGTATCAGATAATCAAAACAAAAACATGCTAATGTTTCAGATAATCAAAACAAATACATGCTAATGTATCAGATAATCAAAACAAAAACATGCTAATGTTTCAGATAATCAAAACAAATACATGCTAATGTATCAGATAATCAAAACAAATACATGCTAATGTATCAGATAATCTAAACAAATACATGCTAATGTTTCAGATAATCAAAACAAATACATGCTAATGTATCAGATAATCAAAACAAAAACATGCTCATGTATCGTCTAACATAAATAAACAATAAGTAGAAACTTTATTTATATATCCCAAGGCATGAAATTGCTGATAGCAGCTGGCAAATACTGCGGCACCACGCTACATACCCTTGCTATCGCCAGGCTCGTTAGCTTGAAAAGTAGTTTCCATAATAGCATGAGCTATCTTCCGCAATTTCGAAACGCCATCTCTGGTTTCAGCAAGTTATCAGGTGGGATGAATTACGTCATTTTTATAGTTACATGAATTAATATTTTTTTCTAGTCTTGCACATTTTAAGTAAATAACTTCAATCAATCTTTTATTCTCCTATGAATAAGTGTGATGGCTTATGATGGTGCTTATAAATGTACATGGAAGTAAACTCCGATTATATCTCGTGTTCATTAATCGCTATTTAGTCTGGAGAGTAGACAAACACTTCTCAATGTAGCAGTTCATTCCGTTTTAAAAGTACCTTGACCATCCAACTCTAACAATACCACCCAATGCTGATAAGATCTTGACTCACTAACTCAGACCAGACTCTTACAACGCAACTCTAACAAGACCTTAACAATACACATCTTAACTCTGAACAGATTTTAACCACTAAGCTCTGATTCGATCTTGACCATCTATATCTTGCAAGACCTTGACCACCTAACTCTAACAAAACCTTGACAACACAGCGCCTAGTTCTCAAAAGACTGACTCTATATAACCGTAATATTTAGTTTCGTATGTTCTTCTCGTGTGTTTACCATATGCCACATAACGAGAGGCCTTGTGACTTTCAGACCTTGACCTCAGCTATGGTTATCTGGAAGATGACCTGCTACTCAGCCTGGCTAATACAACAACCAGCCTCAAGTTGATCACAGTTCGTGCTGATGAAATCCCAGAGTTAGAAAGTCAAATTACCGCTCTAGCATGGGAGAAGCTTACAGCGGCATGTCCTGAGCTAAAAGCGATTTTTCACATCAAGCACAAATTTGTGAGCTGATGTTTTAAAAATGCATAAAATCCTTCAGTATAACAAGATTTTACAAACCTTCAGTATAACAATTTTTAATAAACACTAAAAAAAAGAAAGACAGGAAATATTAACATCAGTTTACTTTTGATATTAACCTAAAAGTTGTGTCTGTCTGCTAACAGTTTTAACACACATACAGAGGCGTAGCGACCCTTCCCGGCGGCCGGGGACAAACGTTCGATTTGCACCCCCTCCCCCTAACTTTTGATTTACAAACACCCCCTCAAACTTTTCAATTTGTTTTTCCAACCCAACACATATGTCCCCCCCCCCCCCGCCCCCCTAGCTACGCCTCTGCACACATCCGCTTTTACTGCAGTAGCTCAACAAACTGCTCACGTTGAATTTATTATTTTATTTATTTATTACACTGAGTAACATTGTATTATTTCCAAGAGGATCAGACATAATTCTATACAGAATTGCAAAGTAATCTGAACCTTATTCCATTTAGGAGTCGTACTCCCAAGACCCAACATTGATACTCACACCATCCATGCCACTATATCAAGTCAAGTGGAAAGCTGGTGCCGCCATCGCTAAAGAGAACTTAGAGAAGTTCTTTCAACATGTGGCACAGAACTTTCAGGTGAGAGGGATGAGAGGGACCCGGTAGTATGCAAAAAGTAGATACAGAACTTTCAGGTGGGCTAGTTGACGCTTATGAATCTTAAATACAAAAACTCATGATTATAATCATATAATTGGTCTGTGTTTACAGAATACCATACACCACCTTCATCTACAGACGGGTGTCCGCCCTGACACGGAACGCTTTGAGCTTGTGTTCAAAAGGTAGGTGAGCTCTGATTTGCTCTTCTGTGTTTTGAGGCTTTTAAAATAGATTTTTTTGGCTAAACCACATTAGTTGTTTGAGTTGTAAGTAGTGCCGGAGACAAAACTTAAAAGCGCACCCCCCCCCCACGCATTTTTTTGTGTCCCCGGGGACAAACTTTCGATTTGCAACCCCCCCCCCCCCCTTCAAACTTTCAATTTGTTTTTCCAACCCATTTTAGCGCCCCCTTACGGCCAGCGCCCAAGGCGACCGCCTAGTTCGCCTTATAGGTAGCGCCGGCCCTGTTTGTAAGGAGTTAAACACATCGCCTAAGCTGTAGCAAGATGATATGCTTACATTCTAATCATTGTATGTCTGTGAGGGTGGGGATTTTAGAAGGCGGAACGAATGAATCCAATAACACACAGTTCAAGTTCCAAATACAAAGTTCTTTATTCATATGTATATAATCATGTTCTACCTAACTAGCTATACTCTCTACTATTTATTTCTACTACTGACTTTTCACTATACCACTAACTACGCACTCCCATGACCAATCCTAACACTAACTGTTCTCTACATTCTACAATCTAACACCTTCTACCTCGCTAGCTAATCATGATTTACCTAACTATCTACATTCCTCGGCCGTCTCTGACCGCTACCTAACAACTCCTGGCCTATCGCTCTACTGCCCCACGCCTCAGTGGTCAGCTGACCGTCCCACGTGACCGGTCAGTCCTGTGCGCCCATTGGTCTCTCTAACCAACCAACTAGGCCTATAGTCTGTTTCTGCTAACCTATATCTGCTAAACATGTCTGACGTAATCTTGCGTCATCACATATCTCCCTCCCTTTCTGTAGCTGACAAATTATATTTTTCAGCGTCTGCTACTAATCTAATACATCAACAACTATCTATCTTACTACTCTATTCTATCCCTAACATCAATCATAAAAATCTAATACAAAGTGGGACAGCACAGTTTACAAAAACATAAACTCTTCTGTCTGTGTTCTTGAAAGAAATGTCATTGTTCTAGTTCCTGAAATCTTGTGGTGTGACTGGTGTCTCTGCTTGCTAATGTATGTCTATGTTATGGTATGTGTGAATTCAATCATGTGTAACTCAGTTCTGGCTAGGTTGTCGCGTACTGGCCTTGGGCTAATCTTAGTAGAATGTGTAACTGGTTGAACGGGCTCTGCGAGCAGTGTAAGTGTATGTGTAAGTGTTATGTAATTACTGGCATTCCTCGGTGGTGGGTAGGTTGTGGCAAGTTTTGATGTAAATTCCCGTGAGGCGGGTGTAGGCGTAACTTTCGTTGGTCAATGTGATGACGCAACAAACTGATCTCAACGCTGGTTGAGACGTCCACGTAGAGTGGTTATGCGATGAACTGGAGCTGTCTGATGCGGTGGTGAACAATGACGTAACGTTCCGACGCTGGGAACTGGGACGATGGGTCTTCTACCCTTTGTATGTGCCGACGTAGGTGTACGTAGCTGGCGGTCTATTATTCAACTCCAGTGCGGGGGCGAAGCGGTGGCGATGCGTCCGCTGTCTTGACCAGGGCAATTCTCTGTTAAGCAGGGCTGTTCGCTGTCCAGGTAATTCAACGTAATCAGGGCTTCAGGTGGCGGCACTCTTTGAAGTGTCTCTTCATCTCGTCTCATTCTGTGTAAGCGTTGGTGGGTCTGAAATTGTATTACGAGACCATGAGCAATGGCTTTATGTGACCAATTTAGTGCCCGCGCAGACAAGTATTCAGACAGAGGTACCTTCCATAAAAAAAACCTCAATCCCAAATTTATAAGTGCTGAACATTTGTCTGGCGGTATAACAAACATTAAAAAATAACATTACAACATAACCAAATAAAAAATCAGTACACTCTAATCTAACAACAATCTGTAAAGCCTAATAAACTCAATAGACGTAAACACTACTAGAGCTTAGAAATAGCTTCACAAAAAGAATAGACATGTAAGTGTATACAAATAATCGTGCCGTTTCAAATAACATTTGAACACGTAATCATATAGCGGAGCAGCTCTCACTATGTGACTTCTGACTTGACTTAAACTGGCTGGCTTGAATAATTAACTGACTTCACTTTTGACTTCAGTAGCTTGACTTATTTCACTTTAACTGACTTCAGTAACTCGACTGACTTCAATTTAACGACTGATTCCACTTTGACGACTGATTTCCTCTGACGACTGACTTCACATGACGACTAATTTCCTTGACGACTAAATTCTCTTTGACGACTAAATTCTCTTCACTGCGACAACTAAATCGACTGACTTCATAGACCTCTGACTGACTTCAACTGACTTAAACTTAATAGACTTCACTTTGACCTCAAAGACTTTAACGACTTAGGCGACTTCACTTTGACTTCAAAGACTTTTTCTTTGACTTCAACGACTTCAATATGACTTCAAAGACTTCACTTTGACTTCAACTTCAATATGACTTCAAAGACTTCACTTTGACTTCAACTTCAATATGACTTCAAAGACTTCACTTTGACTTCAACTTCAATATGACTTCAAAGACTTCACTTTGACTTTAACGACTTAAATATGACTTCAAAGACTTCACTTTGACTTCAACAACTTCAATATGACTTCAAAGACTTCACTTTGACTTCAACAACTTCACTATAACTTCGACGATTTCACTTCTTTACTATGACCTCAACGACTTTAATATAACTTCAAAGACTTTTCTTTGACTGCAACATGACTTCAACTAAGTCACTATGACCTCGATTACGACTTTAACAACATTGACTGACTTGACTGACTTCAAATAACTTCTTTGATTTCAGTTCTGACTTATACTTCACTGACTTCAATAACACAATTGACTTCAGATTTGACTACACTGACTTCTGACTGTACGACTTCACGTCGATTTCCTCGACTACTTAGATCAACACAAAAACTCGACTTGACTTCACTTTTGTCCGTTGTTCAAAATCATTTATGGGGACGGTCGGGGTCACATTTTTGGTCATGGGGTTGCTGTTCTTGGGCAGTTGCGTGTTATCTATGTGCTGTACTTTCCGTTTCACTAATTCTAACGCTAACTCTGCTTTTGTTCTTGACATGTTTTACTATCTTGACTATATTGTTTTCTAGCTTATTCTCTACAAATGTTTCAACTTCTTCTCCTGTTTTGTCTAATGGTATGCCCTGTTTATAGCATTGAGACTCTGCCTCCATGGTTGTGTATGTGTGTGTATGTTGAGGAAAGTAAACAAAACTAATGCAACAGGGCGTAACATAAGAATGTGTAAGGCAGAAAAACCACTGGTACAAACTATCCAGCACGGGTATAAACCCAAACGTTTAAAAAATTTTTTGGAAGGTACTTATCTTTTTGAATATGTTGACAGTTCCCTTGTGTTGTTATTCAAAATTCGTTCCGGCTGAAGAGGTCCGCTGTTGTGAAGAGAAAGCAATACACCAGTCGTACTCCGTCATGAGTAAACCGATATACTTTCTTTCCCGTCCTCGATCTGCGGTTCGTCCCGAGCTCCGCCAGTTGTGAGGGTACGAAAAAGAATCTTTGTTTGTAGTTCTTCTAGTTGCACCAGTTGTGAGGGTGGGGATTTTTAAGAAGGCGGAACGAATGAATCCAATAACACACAGTTCAAGTTCCAAATACAAAGTTCTTTATTCATATGTATATAATCATGTTCTACCTAACTAGCTATACTCTCTACTATTTACTTCTACTACTGACTTTTCACTATACCACTAACTACGCACTCCCTTGACCAATCCTAACACTAACTGTTCTCTACATTCTACAATCTAACACCTTCTACCTCGCTAGCTAATCATGATCTACCTAACTATCTACATTCCTCGGCCGTCTCTGACCGCTACCTAACAACTCCTGGCCTATCGCTCTACTGCCCCACGCCTCAGTGGTCAGCTGACCGTCCCACGTGACCGGTCAGTCCTGTGCGCCCATTGGTCTCTCTAACCAACCAACTAGGCCTATAGTCTGTTTCTGCTAACCTATATCTGCTAAACATGTCTGACGTAATCTTGCGTCATCACAATGTCTTTTTGTATATTTGATGTTTTCTAAATCAATGAAACCAATTTTCTATTTCTTTATTTCTTATCACTGATAAGTGGCGGGAGAGTTGGTATGTTGCAACTCACAGATAAAGTTGTAAAGCCCCCCTTTTAGACCTAACGAACTATAGGGTCGATGAACTACAGTTTGTATGTATCTTGAGCCCGGCATATGGTGTAGTCAGCACAATGCTCAACTGTTAAGTACGGTGTGCCTTTATGATGTGTGTCATCAATGGATGTAATGCTGTTATTTCTACCCTACCTGTGTATCATCAATGGATGTAATGCTGTTATTTCTACCCTACCTGTGTATCATCAATGGATGTAATGCTGTTATTTCTACCCTACCTGTGTATCATCAATGGATGTAATGCTGTTATTTCTACCCTACCTGTGTGATGTAATGCTGTTAATTCTACCCTATCTGTGTATCATAAATGGATGTAATGCTGGTATTTCTACCCTACCTGTGTATCATTAATGGATGTAATGCTGTTATTTCTACCCTACCTGTGTATCATTAATGGATGTAATGTTGTTATTTCTACCCTACCTTTGTATCATCAATGGATGTAATGCTGTTATTTCTACCCTACCTGTGTATCATCAATGGATGTAATGCTGTTATTTCTACCCTACCTGTGTATCATCAATGGATGTAATGCTGTTATTTCTACCCTACCTGTTTGATGTAATGCTGTTATTTCTACCCTACCTGTGTATCAACAATGGATGTAATGCTGTTATTTCTACCCTACCTGTGTATCATAAATTGATGTAATGCTGTTATTTCTACCCTACCTGTGTGTCATCAATGGATGTAATGTTGTGATTTCTACCCTACCTGTGTATCATCAATGGATGTAATGCTGTTATTTCTACCCTACCTGTGTATCATCAATGGATGTAATGCTGTTATTTCTACCCTACCTGTTTGATGTAATGCTGTTATTTCTACCCTACCTGTGTATCATCAATGGATGTAATGCTGTTATTTCTACCCTACCTGTTTATCATAAATTGATGTAATGCTGTTATTTCTACCCTACCTGTGTATCATAAATTGATGTAATGCTGTTATTTCTACCCTACCTGTGTATCTTCAATGGATGTAATGCTGTTATTTCTACCCTACCTGTGTATCATAAATTGATGTAATGTTTACGATTTCTACCCTACCTGTGTACCATCAATGGATGTAATGCTGTTATTCCTACCCTACCTGTGTGTCCACAGTTTGCAGGCGTGCAAAAATCTGGACACCCTGTCCCTGTGTTTGAAAAGCTACAAGAGTGGTGACGTAGAGATGTACATGCTGGCAATAAAAGATGTCATGACGCGATGTCCAGTGTCATGTGACGTCACACTGAACGGTCAAGTTGTGAAGGTGGGGTCAGGAGAGTTCACCGGGTTGACCAGTTGACGAATGTTTTTTTTAGATCGGTGGTAAAACAAGGTAGTACACATTAGCATCTGTTTTTTATTTATCCTTTTAAAAAATGGGTCCATTTAACTATTTGTTTTAAGTTTTGACTTGCAATCAATTTATCAATGTCAAGATGAGCTAGATGAAGAGACAACTATTGAAAGCTGATTAGGGATGGTTTGGTGAGATCTTAAACAGAGGGTTAGCGCAGGAGCCATAGTATGGAGGTAAACAGTTCTAGAACAATAACATGGAGGCCAGCAGTTCTAGAACAATAACAATGATGAAAACAATACTAAAAAGCTGATAATTGCACCCCTTCTACTCGGTGATTTTAAGTTACCAACCGGAGAAAAATGTCAGAAAAACTCTTGATTTGTATAATAATATTTACTAATAATAACAATAAGTAGTTTCAAATGCATTTAGAGTGAAATATTTCCCATATTTGATTGTATACTTGGTCAAGGGAATCAATTGCAATGAAATCTCGGTATTAAAACAATTTAGAAATCATTGTAGAAAGGGGAAAAAAACCCAGTAATGATATTTTATTTAAACGTCAATTAGACCACTGCATAACAATTTATAGTTAAAGATTTCAAACATTAAAAACTTGTATACTTTTTTCAGCTACTTAGGTTAACAACGTTTATCGTTTTGCGTCTGTAATTTTCGTAAACTGTAAACACTTCATTTAATACAGGCTGTACTATTTAAGTTTCTTTCTTTACCTTTAGACCCAATTTCAAAGAAGGGTCTATATTAAAATAAATTCACTGTGCAGGTTACATTTTAATATGATCCACACAAAAATGATCAACTAGCTGTCCTTCACAGAAAATCAATATTCTACCATAGGTTTGTGTGTTGCATGGTATCCAGAATTTAACCATTCGATTAACCGCATTCAATGATGATATTAACCTAACGTATCATGCAGTAGACAGAAGTTAAGCATGTAAAGAAAATACTAGTGCAATTGATTAGAGCATATTAGCTTCATGCATCGAATAGGTGCTAAAACATATTTAGCAGAAGACGAATTATGTAGCTATTGCTAGTTTATCTACAGAAAATGCATGTTAATTTAAAAAAAAATTAACTAGTACAGTTAGTGTATTTTCTTTAACATTCCTCCTATTTATATTCGTATTCGAAATTATTTTATTGTAATTAATATATATATATATATATATATATATATATATATATATATATATATATATATAAACATTTTTCTGTTGTTTATATACCGTTCAATTTAAAAAAAAAACAGTTACTTTTTTTAAATCTCTGTTCAACACAATAGCCTGAATAATGAAATACGTACTCTTTAAACAATTATATAGTCTACATTCTCGTCGCCATTTGTTTATATAAATAATAAGATGTAAAAAAAGAAATAAATCTATATACTACTAAAACTTAAGTTTGTTTACTTTTTTGCATATTTATTTTTTTGTTTGTCTATTTGTTAACATGAGAAAACCTGCACTATGAGCAAAGCTGTAAAATACGTATCTAGGCAGAGAATAATGTTCTTTTTACCAAACTGTTAATCACAAATTCATTTAAAGACTTTAATTAATTTATTGATATATTCATTGGTAGAAATACTACTTGAATTATAAAATGAAAAACGTGGGGCGCCGTGATTTTCTTACAGCTTCTAATACTGTTGACTCTCTAAAAGCTCCCTAATAAAACTCAAAAGTAGTATCTAATCAATAGTAATATAACTTTTACATCTTATATTAGCAATGACCGATAGAAAACTTTTACTTCGGCGCCCCACGTTTTTCATTTTTTGTCATAATGCGCACGCAGTTTGCGATCGCTTATATAGAGTGATCGCTTGCATTATTGTGATGTATAGCATTTATTTTCTACTTTTTAGTTCAATCAGAAAACGTGGGTTTTTAAAAAAATTGTAATGATAATTATTAAATGTGGGGTCTGGCTTTTTGTAAAGATATGTTACAGTGGTAATCGAAGGAGAGTGATAAAAATCGTCAAATAAACATGAAGTCATTTATTGATGTCCTTCGAAACACACAGTTATTCAAGAATAACGTGTAGTATAGTAATATCAAACACAAAATAAGCGTTACATTTGTTCACTAAAGTAGTTGTAAAATCATGATTGCAAATAGTTTAAATCTACAATAATTTACTGATTACATGTGCTACATTTACATTATGTGAAAGTCGCTATTTACATGGAGCTTGGATATTACTTATCAACAGATTACATCCAATTAAAAATGTGAGAACAGTTAATAATCTCTCCCATCAGCACTCAATTTGAGCAGATATTAAAATGTATTATGATTCTAAAATCGTTGGACTAATTCACGGAAAACGTTGGTTGCCTTTTATAGATTATTGATTTTTAATACAATCATTGACAATTTTCTAAATATGTATCTTTTGAAACTGTGAAAGCATTAAAGTGCATTTATACGGTGTTCGTATCGATAGACACATGGAACGAATGGCAGAACGTTTGACTGACAATAAGTAAGTCTCGATTTCGTATCCTGGGCTCAAGTAGGTAGGATGTCCCAGAGTCTACTCAGCTCTGATGGGTACTTGGCTGACTTTAGGGAAGGTAACTGCTGCTAGGCATCATGCTGACCACACCATCCCTTTAGGCGAGCAATACTTTATCTGGACCATGGACAGTATGAATTAGTGCTTAATATGTACCAGTATATAATGGCTGCGGTGAAATATAATGATACCATGTGACAAGAAAGGTGCATCAATATACCCATGTGTCACCACAGTGTATCAATATACCCACTTATGTATCACCACCCAATGTATCAATGTACCCACTATTGTGTCATTACAAAAATATCAATATTAATGTGTCACAAAATACCCACTAAAGTGTCACCAAATTGTTTCAAATAGATCTAGTATCAAATATATTGAAATGCCGACTCTGGATAAATATCCGATTTCACTGACATTTTTCTTTTCCGGTAAAATTTGAAGTTGAGGTGGTGATTTGGATTTGGTTTCGATTTAGAGACAAAGACAGCACTATCAACCTAGCGCCCGTTGTACCTCTCCCTCAAGAGGGCCATTTATTGCGTACACATATTTAATTCCGTTTTCTTGGTGCGCAATTCTTTTTTCTACGAGATTCTCTTCTATTTTAAAAGGTTTAAGTAATTAAAAATGGATTAAAATCATGTCTATATCCCGAGTTGCCATCCCCCGTAGTGTTATATAAGAATATTCGAGAACATTTAGGGAATATTATTTGTTATGCCTGAGTCTATTATTGATTTTAGTTAGTTATCTACCCTACCCCCTCCCGCCCCACACCTGATCTGGGACACAATGCATCCCCGTCCTACCGCTAGTTGGTATCTAACCCATCCCCAATCCCGTCCCACCCCTGAACTGGAATAACGTGTTAACGCCCCACCCCCCTCACCCCGCCCTACCTAGCGATGTGCAGGCTAGGGGAAGTACAGATCGCCGTCTTTGACCTGAGCCCGACCCAACTAACCTGGTATTCAAATTTGGGGAAACACGTAATGAGATACCCTATTGTATTCGAGGCATAGACCCCAAGCTGGGTGGTGAGGGCCAGAAAGATAGGACAGTTGAACTTTAGCTTTGCTAGGATGTAGTCGTGTTTTGTTTGTAAAGTGTGGTAGGGCCCCTAAGGCTGGCCACTATTAATGTTCAAGATTATTTCTTGTTTTATTGAAGACTAAAGTAGTAACCATTAAAGTTGCCTAGCTGTAATTGTGTTTGCGTTTTACTTGAACCTCTAACTGCAGTCATCGCCACCATCAGTACCAACCATAAAGATGACTCGTGACTCGTTTCATAACTTTACTCCTGGTTTATTTATTTTGTGCAAGCGCTATACAAATCATTACTTCATTAAGGAGACGTTAGTTAAATCTTTAAAAATTAATTAATTAAACTGTTTTAATTCACATTGCATTGTCACCAAGTTTTGACCCACGCGTCAAAATTGAACGTAATCGTTCTGGTACAAGTAGTCAAAATATCGCTCGTCAACTCCGACCCGAAGTAATAAACTGATTAAAGAAGTTAATTATAGCGTGAAGGAAAATAATTACATGAATAATTATACAAACACAAATCTATTTCGTAAAAATGTAATAAAATAAACACAATCGGAAGTTTTTATCCTAATCTAATATATTTTTAAAAACAACCCTCTAAACTAATTATAGAATTCAAAGTCACGTTTTAGATTACAAAGTGCTTTCATTTTGAATCATTAGATAAACGTCATCAAAAATTGTGTAGCGCACCAATTTCAACATAATGTAAACAATGGCGTGTGTAGGGTAATTTTATGATAATTTCATCTTCCTTGTAATTTTGAAAAAAAATTAATTAAATAACATCGATAAACAAACGGCCTCATCCCTATATAGCGCAATGTCTTTGGTCGACATCAAAAGACTAAAACAAGTTGCAGAAGAGTTTGTTGGCCGTGTAAATAAGCAGGTAGATCTAAAGACACATCAAATAGTGTGTTATAGTGTCATATACTTACTTCCTCTAGTGTCCTTTAGTTACATCCTATAGTGTCCTATACCCACGTCCTATAGTGTCCTATACCCACGTCCTATAGTGTCCTATACCCACGTCTTATAGTCTCCTATACTCACGACCTATAGTGTCCTATAGAGTCTTATACTCACGTCCTATATTGTCCTATACTCACGTACTATAGTATCCAATATTGTCCTATACTCATAGTTCAGGCATTGTTAGGTTGACATTATATAATAGCCATTATTTTCATCTTATAAACACGTACTCAGGTGACCTTGCCAAGTTTGAAGTCAGCACTTCGATGATTATATTTTTACATGGATAAAAGTATATTTGTAAACTGTGTCTTTAAAATAGCAGTATAAAATACTAAACGCAAGCATTAAAATAATTTTAAAATTTAATGGCTTATGGATCAACATTTTAAAAGATGATAACGAAGAGATTTTTAAAATATGTTTTTGCGTAAAAGACTGCATTTCTATTTGTTTTCATTGAGACAACGTTTAACCCTAAAACTTACTTTGGTAAGACAAACACACTGGTTTGCAGAGTTTCTTCCAGGCATCTCTTCGGGGGGGGGGGGGGGGGGGGGGGGGGCTAAGCCCCCCCCCCCCAGAAAATTTTTTACCGCCCCCCCCCCGAACGAAATGAAATTTATGTAATTTATATAGAAAATATATACTTTTAACAGTGTCCGCCCCCCGAAGAAAGTTTACCCCCCCCCCCCCGAAAATTTCAAGTGCCCCCCCCCCCGGAGAAAAAAGTCTGGAAGAAACACTGCTGGTTTGCTGTGCTAGTTCAAGTATTCCTGGAGAAAAAAAACACTTTGTATTAATTGTTTTATGTTAATCTGTTCAATGATTTTAATAAATTCCACTTTTTAGAACTATATTATCTAGCGATGTCATGTGTTAAGTTTTTAAAATATTTTCTTGAATAGCCTAAAATTCTAAAAAGAGCAGCAAAGTCCAATAACAACAATACAAGCATATGTTTATAACCACATTTGTTTGAAAACATATTGCATAGAATCTCCGACACTTAATACGCCGAGGTTCACTAGGCAAATATTGTTTACACAATCACACTTTCAGAGATTTGACAAACTTAACACAATTTCAGCCTGACTGGAGTCAGCTGCCGAACGAGATCCTGCTGAAAGTCTTCAGTTACCTGAGCAACAGCGACAAGTACCACGCCGCCCTAACCTGCAAGGCTTGGCTCCGTCTACTCTCAGTGCCGTCACTGTGGCAGTCTGGAGATTTTATCTCAAAGAACGATGAGAAAGCCATCCGGTTTCTTGATATCACAGGTAAAAGCATACGACATACACACGCAGAATGTAAAACAATTGAAAATATTCATTTGTGTAAGTCACACAGAGTATAGTAAAAATGTATGTGTATGTGTCAGCCTGTTTGAAACTTAATTACATGGGTAAATTACATGTGTACTTTTAAGAGTAAATTACATGTGTAATTTAATGCATAAATTACTTGTTTAATTTCATGAGTAAATTACGTTTGTAATTTCATGAATAAATTACATGTTTAGTTTCATTAGCAAATTACATGTGCAATTTAATGAGTAAATTTTATATGAAATGTTTTGAGTAAATTACATGTGTACATTCATAAGTAAATTAGGTCTGTAATTTCATGAGTAAATTACGTGTGTACATTCATATGTAGGCCTAAATTACGTGTGTAATTTCATGAGCAAATTACATGTGTACATTTATGAGTAAATTGCGTGTGTAATTTTATGAGTAAATTGTATGTATATTTTCTTGCTTTGAAAAGTACGTGAATATCGCCCATCGTGTTCAAAGAAGGTGTATCTGTTTTTAGCCAGCCATTTGAATTCAGACAATCACCAGCTGCTGACCATCAGACTGACAAATCTGAAAAAAGTGAAAAAAATGAACGTCTTGAGCCTAATTCCAGGATTTCGAAGCGCGATCTCTGGTTTTAGCAAGTTATCAGGTGGGATGAACTACGTCATTTTTATAGTTACATGAATTAATATTTTCTGGTCATGTACATTTTATTAAATAAGTAAATAACTATTATTATTAGTGTTATATATAATCAAACATTTATTTCCCTATCAAGAAGTGTGATGGCGTATGATGGTGCTTATAAATGTACATGGAAGTAAACTTTCATTATCTCTCGTGTTCGTCATTAGCTCTTTAGTCTGGAGAGTAGACAAACACTTCTCAGTGAAGCAGTTCATTCCGTTTTAAAAGTACCTTGTCCACCCAATGCTGATAAGATCTTGACTCACTAACTCAGACAAGACACTTACAACGTTACCCTAACAAGACCTTAACAACACACATCTTAACTCTGAACAGATTTTAACCACTGAGATCTGATTCGATCTTGACCACCTAACTCTAACAAGACCTTGACCACCTAACTCTAACAAGACCTTGACCACCTAACTCTAACAAGACCTTGACCTCACAACTCTAACAAGACCTTGTACACCCAACTCTAACAAGACCTTGACCTCACAACTCTAACAAGACCTTGTACACCCAACTCTAACAAGACCTTGACCTCACAACTCTAAAACAAGACCTTGACCACCTAACTCTAACAAGACCTTGTACACCCAACTCTAACAAGACCTTGACCACCTAACTCTAACAAGACCTTGACCTCACAACTCTAACAAGACCTTGACTTCACAACTCTTACAACACCTTGACCACCCAACTCTAACAAGACCTTGACCACCCAACTCTAACAAGACCTTGTACACCCAACTCTAACAAGACCTTGACCACCTAACTCTAACAAGACCTTGACCTCACAACTCTAACAAGACATTGACTTTACAACTCTACCAACACCTTGACCACCCAACTCTAAAACAAGACCTTGACCACCCAACTCTACCAAGACCTTGACCACCCAACTCTAACAAGACCTTGACCACACAGCGCCCAATTCTCATAAAACTGACGCTATATATCCGTAATATTTAGTTTCGTTTTTTTCTAGTGTGTTTACCATATGCCACATAACGAGAGACCTTGTGATTTTCAGACTACGGTTATTTGGAAGATGACTTGCTGCTCAGCAAGTTGATTACAATTCAAGCTGATGAAATACCAAAGTTACAAAGTCGAATAACCCCTCTAGCGTGGGAGAAGCTTACAGCGGCATGTCCTGAGCTAATAGCTATTTTTCACATCATGCACAATTCTGTGAGCTGATGTTTTAAAACTGCATACAAACCTTCAGTATAACAGGATTTTAATAATTACTAAAAAAAGAAAGACAGGAAATATTACTATCAGTTTACTTTTGATATTAACCTAAAGTTATGTCTGTTTGGTAACCTTTTTAATACACATACGCTTTTACAGCAGTAGCTCAATAAACTGCTTTCGTTAAATTTATTATTCAAGCAACACCGCGTAACATTGTATTATTTTCAAGAGAATCAATCATAATTATATTTAGACTTGGAATTACGTCTTGAACCTTAATCCATTTAGGAGTCGTGCTCCCAAGACGCGACAACGATTCTATTACCTTTTATGCCACTCTATCAAGTCAAGTGGAAAGCTGGTGACGCCATCGCTATAGAGAACTTAGAGAAGTTCTTTCAACATGTGGCACAGAACTTTCAGGTGAGGGGGATCAGAGGGACCCAGTAGTATGCAAAAAGTAGATACAGAACTTTCAGGTGGGCTAATTGACGCTTATGAATCTTGAATATTAAATCTCTCATGATTATACTCATATAATTGGTCTGTGTTTACAGAATACCTTACACCACCTTCATCTAATCATATAATTGGTCTGTGTTTACAGAATATCTTACACCACCTTTATCTAATCATATAATTGGTCTGTGTTTACAGAATACCTTACACCACCTTCATCTACAAACTTGTATCAGTCCTGACATGGAACACTTTGAGTATTTTTTCAAAAGGTAGGCCTATGTGAACTCTGTTTTGCTCATCTGTGTGTTTTGAGATTTTTAAATAGATTTTTTTGGTTAAACCTTATTATTATTTTTTATTTGTAAGGAGTTAAACACATCGCCTCAGCTGCAGCAAGATCTTATGCATACATTCTAATCGTTGTATAACTTTTTGATATTTGATCAATTTTCTATTTCTATATTATTTTTTCACTGATAAGTGGCGGGAGAGTTGGTATGTTGCAACTCACAGATAAAGTTGTAAAGCCCCCCTTTTAGATCTAACGATGAAGTACAGTTTGTATTTCTTGAGCCCGGCATATGACGAAATGGTGTAGTCAGCACAATGCTCAACTGTTAAGTACGGTGTGCCTTTATAATGGGTGTCGTAAATGGATGTAATGTTGTGATTTCTACCTTACCTGTGTGTCCACAGTTTGCAGGCGCGCAAAAATCTTGACACCCTGTCCCTGTGTTTGAAAAGCTACAAGAGTGGTGACGTAGAGATGTACTCGCAGGCAATAAGAGATGTCATGACGCGATGTCCAGTCTCATGTGACGTCACACTGAAAGATCAAGCTGTGAAGGTGGGGTCAGGAGAGTTCACCGTGTTGACCAGTTGAAGTTCTCGTATATACGAAGAATAGAGAAAGTCTTGTAATCGTGCAAAAAAAAAAAAATCGAGATTTTCGGAAGTCAACTATTTACACCTCACTGATACGGAAAAACATAATTTTGCAATCTTGTCCGTATATCTGTGTGTCTGTCTGTGTGTCTGTCTGTGTGTAAACACGATAACTTGAGTACCGTTAGAGCTTGGTAGATGAAATTTCATATATAAGTATTTTATCAAAATCGTAGATCCGTATCAACTTTTGAGCGATTTCCGATAAACGGAATTAGTACCCTTTCTACTTTGAATTTTTTAAAGCCTATAACCTGAGTACTATTTCAGATAGATGAATGAAAATTCACATGTATATAAACGATCTAATTCTCTAACTTCTTCAAAATTTTGAGTAATTTCCGTTTACCGGAAGTAATAATTTACGCTATTTTCGATTTCTCAAAAATCTAATGTAAATTTATAAAATACTAATAATATTGTGCACTATTTTGCACATTTTATTTGACGTTCACTTGGTGTGCAATTCTTTTTCCACGAGATTTTAATCTTTTTTAGAAAGTTTAAGTATTTAAAATGGATTAAAAATCATGTCTATATCCCGAGTTCCCATCCCCTGTTGTTTTATATAAGAATATTCGAGAAAGTTTAGGGGAGATCACTTCCGGTTTATTTAGCTTACAATGTGTAGGCCTACAATGACATTTATGGCCGCCTATCGAATAGCAGGATGTCATTGTTTATGTCGCCATAGCACGACAAAAACCAAATTGTTTTTGCTTTTTTTTATTTTTTATTTAGTTACCGATAATATTAAAAACAACAAATACATCCAATCTTTAGTAATTTCCGAAAAAAACCAGACAGACAGGATTTTATAACCATATTTATTGTAACTACGCCGTGCAAGTTTTTAAAATGAATTTATGGGCCTCTCAAATACCTTTGAGACTTTTCTCTCCATTTACACTATAAGTTTGAAAAATAAAATTTGTTTTATAACACCTTAAATATTCATGTTGTTTATCATTAAGTTAGATGATGAGCACTTTGGATATATCAGACTATGGTGATCAAGTATAATTGTTGCTCTACTCCTTTGTAATCACGGGTCCGCTTGCAAACCGCCGTCCGTGGTCTCACACATACAGAATTTAACTTTATATATTAGATTTATTTCAAAACATGGTACATAATTTTAAAATTATTTAATGGGCATTCGAAAAATCTGTGAGAATAATCTCGGTTGTGTCAATCAGAGGCGTAACTATGGGAGGGAGGTAGGGGTATTCGCCCGGAGTGCCGACCTTAGGGGTGCTAAACGGGGGAAAAAATTGAAAAGCGTTTTCAGATGAGTTAATAAATTATATAAATTATTTTAAAGTGTTTTCTGCATCAATTCCGTGACACCAATATACAAACCATGAATAAGTGACTTTCTAACTAACCTGATAGATGGCCCCGGGTCGCTACGCCTCTGGTGTCTACCTGGCAACTATTGTTTAATACAGTTTCAGCCTGACTGGAGCCAGCTGCCGTACGACATTTTGCTGCACGTCTTCCGTTACCTGAGCAACAGCGACAAGTTCCACGCCGCTCTCACCTGCAAGTCTTGGCTCCGTCCACTCTCAGTGCCGTCCCTGTGGCAATCCGGAGATTTTGTTTTTGACTCAAAAAGTGACGAGAAAGCGATCACCTTTATAAACATCACAGGAAAAAGCATACGACATATACACGCAGAATGTAAAGAAGTTAAAACTGTTAATATGGGTAAGTCACATATAGTATTGTAAAATGTATGTGTATGTGTCAGCCTGTCTGAAACTGAATTACAAGTAAATTTTATGAGTAAATTACATTTAACTATACATGAGTAAACTACATGTGTAATTTCAAGACAAAATTGCATGTGTAATTTCATGAGTAAATTACTTGTGTAATTTTATGAGTAAATTGCATGTGTAATCGCATGAGTAAATTACATGTGTAAATTTTATGAGTAAATTACATTTATCTATACATAAGTAAATTACATGTGTAATTTCAAGACAAAATTGCATGTGTAATTTCATGAGTAAATTACTTGTGTACTTTCATGAGTAAATTACATTTGTAATTTCATGAGAAAATTACATGTGTTCATTCCTCCTTTGAAAAGATCTTGAATGCCGCCCATCGTCTTCCGAGAAGATGTATCTGTTTTTAGCCACCATTTTGAATTCAGACAATCACCAGCTGTTGACCTTCAGACTGAAAAATCTGAACAATTTAGAAGTGTATTATGGCGAAGAAAGGTCAAAATCATTGTCCGAAGTGGCTACACTCCTGACCAAAGTCTTGAAAGTCCAGCGACAGCTTCGTGTCCTGGACCTTAGCAACAGCCAAAATTCTGTGAAGAGCTTTTTAGATGTTTCTCTTACCGTGTATGAAGGTTAGTAAAGACAGTATAACATCGGGCCAGGGCTGGTAGTGGGGGGCTTACAGTGAAGTATGGTCCGTTATGTTGAGTTAGAGAGAGGTGTCAATAGAAAACAAAACGAGGGGCGGGATAGACGGCGAGACGTTGGGTATCTAAAAGACAGTTAATTTAAATAAATATGACAAGCCTTGTCTTTATGTTAACCTAATTGTGGCTCTAGGGGGTAGATTACTTTTGGAATTTTATACTGCTAATGACTGCTAGTGATAATCTAAACAAAAACTTACTTATGTGTCTCAGAACATAATTAAACTATAAGTAGAAACTTTATTTAAATATCCAAAGGTATAAAATTACTAAGTGCTGCCGCAGAACACTGCGCCACCACCATCCAGAAACTTGCGATCGCCAGGTTAATTTGTCTTAAAAACAATAATCGAAATAACTTGAGCCAAATTCCAGGATTTCGAAGCGCGATCTCTGGGTTTAACAAGTTGTCAGGTGGGTTGAACTACGTCATTTTTATAGTTACATGAATTAACATTTCCTGGTCATGTACATTTTATTAAATAAGTACATAACTATTATTATTAGTGTTATACATAATCAAACATTTATTCCCCTATCAAGAAGTGTGATGGCTTATGATGGTGCTTATAAATGTACATGGAAGTAAACTCTCGTGTTCATCAATTACTATTTAGTCTGGAGAGTAGACAAACACTTCTCAATGTAGCAGTTGATTCCGTTTTAAAAGTACCTTGACCACCCTTCTCTAACAATACCACCAAAGTCCGATAAGATATTGACACCCTATCTCTAACAAGACCCTTATAACTCAACTCTAAGTAGACCTTGACCTCACAACTCTAACAAGACCTTGACCTCACAACTCTAACAAGACCTTGACCACCCAACTCTAACAAGACCTTGACCTCACAACTCTAACAAGGCCTTGACCACCCAGCTTGCAGTTCTCATAAGACTGAGGCTATATATCCGTAATATTGAAATTCGTGTATTGTTCTACAGTGTTGACCATATGCCACATAACGAGAGACCTTGTGACTTTCAGAACTGGACCTGAGTCACAGTTACATCAACGATGACCTGTTGCTTAGCTTAGCGCGGACGACAACCAGCCTGAAATTGATTACTATTCGAGCCGACGAGCTTCGAAATGTAGAACATGGAACTACCGCAGCGTGGGAGCACCTTACAGCGGCATGTCCTGAGCTAAAAGCTGTTTTTCACATCAAGCACAAATCTGTGAGCTGATGTTTTAAAAATGTATACAAACCTTCAGTATAACAAGATTTTAGAAACACCAAAAAAAAAAAAGAAAGATAAAAAAGATTAACATCAGTTTAATTTTGATATTAACCTAAAAGTCGAGTCCGTCTGGTAACCGTTTTAACACAAATAACCTTTTACTGTAGGAGCTCAACAAAATGCTTTCATTGAATTTATTATTTAAGCAACACTCAGTAAAATTGTAATTTTTTTCTAAGAGTATCAATAATAGATCTGTTTAGAATTAAAATTAACGCTAGAGCCAAATTCCATTCAGGAGTCGTACTTCCAAGACGCGACAAAGATTCTTACACCTTCCATACCGCTCTATCAAGTCAAGTGGAAAGCTGGTGCCGCCATCGCTATAGAGAACTTACAAAAGTTCTTTCAACATGTGGCAGACCACTTTAAGGTGAGGGGAATCAGAGGGACCCAGTAGTATGCAAAAAGTAGATACATAACTTTCAGGTGGGCTAATTGACGCTTATGAATCTTGAATATAATAACTCTCAGGATTATAATCATATAATTGGTCTGTGTTTACAGAATACCTTACACCACCTTTATCTACAAACGGGTGTCCGTCCTGACATGGAACACTTTGAGCATTTTTTCAAAAGGTAGGTGAACTCTGATTTGCTCTTCTGTGTGTTTTGATAATTTTTACATAGAATTTTTTTGCTAAACAGCATTAGTTGTTTGATTTGTAAGTAGTTAAACACATCGCCTAAGCTGTAGCATGATGTTATGCCTACATTCTAATCATTGTATGTCTTTTTTGTATATTTGATGTTTTCTAAATCAATGAAACCGCTTTTATATTTCTATATTTTTATCACTGATAAGTGGCGGGAGAGTTGGTATATTGCAACTCACAGATAAAGTTTAACCCCCCCCCCTTTGAGACCTAACAAACTATAGGGTCAATGAAGTACAGTTTGTATGTTTCTTGAGCTGGTGTAGTCAGCACAGTGCTCAACTGTTAGATAAGTTGTGCGTTTGTGATGTGTGTCATCAATGGATGTAATGTTGTGATTTCTACCCTACCTGTGTGTCCACAGTTTGCAGGCGTGCAAAAATCTGGACACCTTGTCCCTGTGTTTAAAAAGCTACAAGAGTGATGACGTAGAGATGTACATGCAGGCAATAAAAGATGTCATGACGCGATGTCCAGTGTCATGTGACGTCACACTGAACGGTCAAATTGTGAAGGTGGGGTCAGGAGAGTTCACCGTGTTGACCAGTTGACGAATGTTTTTTTTAGATCGGTGGTAAAACAAGGTTTTACACACAAGCTTCTGTTTTGTATTTATCTTTAAACAGTTGTCCGTTGAATTATTGGATTTAAAAACTTTTCTGACTTACAATCAATTTATCAATTTCATGATGAGCTAGATAAAGAGACAATTATTGAAACGTGAAGCTGATTAGGGATTGCTTATTGAGATCTTAGACAGAGGGTTAGCGCTGGAGCCATAAGAGATGTCAACAGTTCTAGAACAATAACATGGAAGCCAGCAGTTCTAGAACACTAGCAATGATAAAACAATACTAGAAAGAGGATACTTCCACCTCTTCTACTTTACTCGGTGATTTTGAGTTACCCACCGGAGAAAAATGTCAGAAAAACTCTTGATTTGTATAATAATATTTACTGATAATAACACAATAAATAGTTCCAAATGCATTTAGAGTTAATTATTTCCCATATTAGGATTGTATACTAGGTCAAGGGAAATAATTACAATTAAATATCTGTATTAAAACAATTTAGAAATCACCATAGAAAGAAAAAAATACAGTAATTATAATATTGTATTTAAACGTCGAATAGACCAGTACACAATTTATAGATAAAGATTTCAAACGTTAGAAACATGTATACTGTTTTCAGCTACTTAGGTTAACAACCTTTCATTATTTTGCGTCTGTAATTTTTTTAACAGTTAACACTTCATTCAATACAGGCTGAACTATTTAAGTTACTTTCTTTACCTTTAGATCCCATTACAAAGAAGGATCACAATCATGGCAGATGACAAACACCACCTAGAACATTTGCCACTACCTCCAGAAATTTATCTTGAACCCATTGTCAAGTTGCCCCTCTTTGAGATTAAGACAATGGAAGAAGATGAAGAAGTGTTGTTAAACTTGACAGCAAAGCTTTTCCGCTATGCTCATGATGCAGAGCCTAAAGAGTGGAAAGAAAGAGGCACAGGAAAATGCAAAATTTTGAAACATAAAAAAAACGGCCTGATTAGGATTTTAATGAGAAGAGAAAAAACACTGAAAATTTGTGCCAATCACTATATCTATCCATCTATGGAACTCAAACCCAACTGTGGCAGTGATCGGGCATGGGTTTGGTCCACTACAGGAGATTTTGCAGATGAAGAAAGCAAAGAAGAGGTGCTTGCCATCAGATTTGCAAATGCAGAAAATGCCCAGAAGTTTAAAACAGTATTTGATGAGTCTTCAGAGGAAATGAAGAAAGTTTTGAACAAAAAGTCAGTTATAGAAAATGGAGATACTAATGCCGAAATAAAAGATGAAGAGAAGGAAAAGGTGAATGATGGAACCGCTGAGCTGGCTGGTCAGTTGAAAGACTTAAATGTCAGTAAGCATACAGAAGAGGGTAGTACTGAGTGATATTTAATTAGACAGTGAAAATCATTTTACATCTTGCCACAGTCTACATGTTGTGTTTAACGTTGATTCCATTCAGCACTCTCCTACCTTCCTCCCAGGCAGAATAAAGGACAGTGTTGTATTCATAATGACATTGGTTAGCGGTTTACGTAACTCTAAAATATCCTTATGTCTAGAATTAAAGTGATGTCAGTTAACAGAGGTTTGAAACATTTTTTGGATAAAGTAATGAACTTCATGTGTATGTTTCTTGCAATATTCATATACATTTTTTTATGACAAAAGCTGCTTTACTGGCTAACAAGTAGCTATTTTATATCTATGTAATTAATATAAATTAAGGATAAATACATATTTTTTTAAGAAAACATTTTCTTTTAATTCTTAATGGTTACAAAATTGAAGGGTATAGTATTGTATTATATTAAAAAGTTTATTGGTCAAATTTCTTTAAAAGAAAAAATATTTTTTAAATCCATAGCAAATTCTTTTCCAAATGAAAGTTTTGATTGATGAGAAGTTTTTAGTTGTTTTTTTTTACTAAGTCATTAAAATAGTTACATTGTTTTTAGCTCATATATGTAGATCAGTAAGTTTGGATCATTAAACTTTCAACTTGTTTGACCGAGTTAACCATTTTATTTTTAACATGCTGTCATATTTTGTAAATAAATTGTCAACAGTGTGCATTATAAAAAAAAAATTCAAAGATGGGTCAATATTAAAAAAAAGATTCACTGTGCAGGTTACATTCTAATAAGATCCACACAAAAATCATCAACTAACTGTCCTTCACAGAACATCAATATTCTACCATAGGTTCGTGTGTGGCGTGGTGTCCAGAACTTCGATTAGCCGCATTTAAAGATGATATTGATCTAACGTATCATGCAGTAGACAGAAGTTAATCATGTAGCCTAAAGAAAATACGAGTGTAATTGATTAGAGCATATACTCTTCATGCATTGAATAGGTGCTAACATATTTAGCAGAAGACGACTTCTATAGCTATTGCTAGTTTATCTACAGAAAATGCATGGTAATTTTTTTTTTAAATAATATAAGTAGTAAAGTTAGTGTATTCAACATTCTTCCTATTTACATTCGTAATCGAAATTATTGTATTGTAATTAATCAATATATATATATATATATATATATATATATATATATATATATATATATATTTATTTATATATATATATATATATATATATATATATATATATATATATATATATATATATATATATATATTATGTACATTTTTCTGTTGTTGATATAACTTTCAATTTAAAAAAGTCCTTAAACTTTTTAAAATCTCTGTTCAACCCAATAGCCTGAATAATAAAATACGTATTCTTTAAACAATTATATAGTCTACATTCTCGTAGCCTTTTGTTTTACAAATAATAAGATGGGAAAAAAAAGAAATAAATCTATATACTACTAAAACTCAAGTTTGTTTACACGTTTGAATATTTTTTTTTTGTTTGTCTATTTGGTTACATGAGAGAATCTGCACTATGAACATAGCAATAACATACGTATTTAGGTAGAGAATGATGTTCTTTTTTACCAAACTGTTAATCACACATTCATTTAAAGACGGTAATTAATGTATCAATATATTCATCGGTAGAAATACCACTTGAATTATAGAATTTGAAACAAACAGATTTTTTTCTCAAAAGCTTAAACTTTCACCGGCTTTGTGACGTCATTTGATTTTAAGGCCAAACCAAAAATAGTTTTACAGAAAAATACAGGGACTTAATAGTAGTCCCTTAAAACGTACAGAAATAATCGCAACTTATACCGAAAAACATACTTTAAGGCCAGACCAAAAATAATCAGCTAAAACGAAAAACATACAACAATAAGCAATACACAACAAAAATACAATCCATAATTGAACCTCTTTATTGAACTATTTTAGTCCGTAACTCAAGTGTCTTACGCGGACTCTCTAAGTAAACTACTCAACTAATTTTACACGTAATCGAAAGTACCCAGATAGTTGAGTTGATAGTGTAATAGTTACCATGCGGGTGTTATGGGTTTGAGAGACAGCATGTCAATGTTACATTATTTTTCAGTATTTGTTTTAATATATAAATGCTAAAGTTGCCTATCCCAACTTGACAGGTGAGGTAGAGTTTACCTGTTTCTGTATTTTCAGCATGTAAAAAGTAGTGTGGTCAGACCCATGCCTAGCCGAAATAGGTATTTAAAATAAATAACATGTTACCTAAGGTGTGACCACTTTTTGAATGTGGGGTCTGGCTTTTTGTAAAGATATGTATGACCCTCGAAACACACTGTTATTCAAGAATAACGTGTAGTCTAGTAATATCAAACATATAGGATAAGCGTTACATTTATTCACAAAAGTAGTTGTAAAATCATGGTTGCAAATAGTTTAAATCTACAATAATTTACTGATTACCTGCGCTATGTTAACATTATGTGCAAGTGGCTATTTACATAGAGTTTGGATATCACTTATGAACAGAGTACATCCAATTAAAAATGTGAGATTAGTTATGAGATAATTAATTAAAACGTGAGCCACTTATCCAGAAGAAGATGTGTGATAAAACCCAGCTACCCAGGCTTGTTTAGAAAATCTTGCCAATGATGTCTTCATAAAACTTTTTGATCTTCTGATCCTGAAATGGAGAGCTAAAATTTAAAAATAGCCATTATGATTTGGTAAACAGAAATGAGTATAAAGAAAAAAAAAATTGTTTTTGCCACTGTTTCTAGTTTTGTTTCGATTAATTTTGTTGACCGATACACAGTTCGATTTTAAAGAACTGACTACAAAACTACTAAACTAACCATAGGATTAAAGAATATATTAACCTTACAATGTGAAATAAACCAAGTGACTGGCAACTTAACATGGGATAAAATTAAACCACTGACAACTTACCCTGGGATAACTAGTTTTAGGATAATCTCTCCCATCAGTTCTCAATTTGAACATATATTGAAATGTATTATGATTCTGAAATCGTTGGACTAATACACGAAAAACTTTGGTTGCCTTTTATAGATTATTGATTTTTAATATAATCATTGACAATTTTCTAAATATGTATCTTTCAAAACTGTTAAAGCATTAAAGTGCATTTATACGGTGTTCGTATAGATAGACACATGGAACGAATGGCAGAACGTTTGACTGACAATAAGTAAGTCTCGAGTTCGAATCCTGGGATCAAGTATGTAGGATGTCCCAGAGTCTTCTCAGCTCTGATGGGTACTTGGCTAAAGTTAGGGAAGGTAACTGCTGCTAGGCATCGTGATGACTACACCATCCCTTCAATTGAAGTATACTTTATCTGGACCACGGACATTATTACTTAGTGCTTTATAAGTACCAGTATAAAACGGCTGCGATGTGATATAACGATACCATGTGACAAGGAAGGTGCATCAATATACCCATGTGTCACCACAGTGTATCAATATACCAACTATTGTGTCATTACAAAATATCAATATACCCACTCATGTGTCACAACCTACTGTATCAATATACCCACTATCGTGTCATTACAAAATATCAATATACCCACTCATGTGTCACAACCTACTTTATCAATATACCCACTATTGTGTCATTACAAAATATCAATATACCCACTCATGTGTCACTACTTTGTAGATCAATATACCCAGCAGTATGTCACCACATTGTTTTAATATACCCACCAAAATATCACCGTTCACTCAGTCAAAATACCCACTAAACTGTCACCACATTGTATCAAATAGATATAGTATCAAATCTATTGAAATGCCGATTCTGGATAAATATCCGTTTTCATTGACATTGTTCGTTTCCGGTAAAATTTGAAGTTGAGCTGGTGCTTTGGTTTTGGTTTCGATTTAGAGACAAAGACAACACTATCAACCTAGCGCACGTTGTATCTCTCCCCCAAAAGGGCCATTTATCGCGTACATATATTTAATTCCGTTTTCTTGGTGCACAATTATTTTTTAATACAAGATTCTATTCATTTTAAAAGGTTTATTTAATTAAAAATGGATTAAAAATCATGTCTATATCCCGAGTTGCCATACCCCGTAGTGTTATATAAGTATATTCGAGAAAATTTAGGGGATAATACTTGTTATGACTGAGTCTATTGTTGATGCAAGTTGGTTATCTTTCCCACCCCCTCCCGTCCCACACCTGACCTGGGACAGCGTGTTAATGCCCCACCCCCATCACCTAACGATGTGCAGGCGAGTGGAAATGCAGGTCGTCGGTCTTTGACCTGAGCCCGACCCAAATAACCTGGTATGCAAATTTTGGGAAAAATGTAATGGGATACCCTATTATATTTGAGGCATAGAACCCAAGCTAAGTGGTGAGGGCCAGAAAGATAGGACAGTTGAACGTTAGGCTTGATAGCATGTAGTCGTGTTTTGTGTTTTTTAATGTGTGATAGGGCTGGCCCCAAAGGCTGGTCACTATTAATGTTCAAGATTATTTCCTGTTTATTGAAAACTAAATTAGTAACCATTAAAGTTGCCTAGCTGATATTATGTTTGCGTTTTACTTGAACCTCTCACTGCAGTCATCACCACCATCAGTACCAACCATATGGATGACTCGTGACTCTTTTCGTAACATTACTCCAGGTTAAATTTTTTCGATAGCGCAATGAAAATCATGACTTTATAAAAGAAAACGTTAGTTAAATCTTTAAAACTTAATTAATTAATCCAATTCAAACAATTTTAATTCACATTACATTGTCACCAAGTCTTGACCCACGCGTCACTGCTGAATGCAATCGTTCTGGTCAAAATATCGCTCGTCGACTCCGACCTCCAACCAAAAAAATAAACAGATTACAGAAGTTAATTATTGCGTGAATGAAAATAATTACAAGAATAATTATCAAACACAAATCGATTTAGTAAAAATGTAAAAAAAAAATAAACTTATGTTTTGTAATCTAATCTAATAACCTCAAAAATCATTCAAGAATTAAAATTGAAGTTTTAGATTCCAAATTACTTCTATTTAAATAATTCAATACACGTCATCAAAAATTGTGTAGCGCTTCACTTTCAACTTCCTGTAAACAAATCTTTTCATCGTTGGATATCTATATAAACATCTCAATATAAATAATATAATAGAAACGAGAAGTGCCACATCGCTACACGGCGATATGTCGTTGTTTAGCATCAAAAGAATAAAACGAGCTGCAGCTGAATTTGTTGGCGGTTGGACTAAACAGGTAAAGATACGCCCTATAGTTTCCTATAGTGTCCTATAGTGTCCTTTACTCACGTCCATAATGTGTCCTATACTCACTTCCTATATTGTTCCATAGTGTCCTAAATTGTCTTTTAGTGTTTTTAGTGTCCTAAAGTGTCTATACTCACTTCCTATAGTATCCCATAGTGTCCTATACTGGCGTTGTATTGTGTCCTATAGTTTCTTATAGTGTCCTACACTAAAGTCCTATAGTGTCCTATAATCTCGTCCTATAATATCCTATGGTGTCCTACAATCACATCTAATAGTGTCCTATATTGTCCTACAATCAAATCCTATAGTGTACTATACTCACTTCCGATATTGTGTAATACTAACAGCTTAGGTTTGGTAGGTTTGCTATAACTTTCACCTCATAAATAGGTACTCATCTGAACTTACCAAGTTTAACTAGAAGACTTCGATCATTATATTTTTACATAGATAAAAGCAAATTTGCAAATTGTGAATTTAAAATAACAGTAAACAATTCGAAACTCTAGCATTAAAATAATTTAGATGTGTAATGTTTTACGATTAAACATTATAAAAGATGATTATGTAGAGAACTTAATTTTTTTTTCAAGCTTTTGTCTACTAATGCACTAAAAAGTAGAAAATAACCTACAAACTATAACTATAAAGGAAAGCGTGGGTCATTTTAGTATCTCTTGGACACCTTTATTAATGTTTAGGGAGAGACCCACGCTCTTCTTTATAGTATTTTAAATAATAGTGTCTAATTAATTTTCTACGTTTTAGTGCATTAGTACATATACGTTTGTTGTTACAACATTTTTTACGAAACAATTTTTTAATACGTTACATGTTTTATTTACACTAGAATTGCATGACTAAAAACGATTTCGCGCCTATAGAACGTGATGACGCGTGTATAATAGCGCAGAATAGTTGGGTAATACTGCCTACTAATTTGGACCAAATTTTAATTAATTGATAAAAAATTAATTAGGCAACCAATTAAGTCAAATTTAATGTCTTGACCTACGTACCAACTACGAACCGTATCTGTCAGTTAAAAGTGCCAGCAAATAATCAAAATTATTTAATGAGCCTTTCGAATAATCTGTGATAATGCTCTTGGTTGTGTCCATCAGAGGCGTTACTATGGGAGGGAGGTAGTGGCGCCCGGAGTGTCGATGTTAAGGGCGCCGAACGGGGGGGGGGAAAATAATTATACAAATTATATTTAAGTGTTTACTGCATCAATTCTATAACACCAATATAAAAACCATTAAAAAGTGACTACACCAGTGGCGTAGGCAGGGGGGGGGCGGGTTAGGGGGGGTCATAACCCCCCAAAGACCCCTCGGTATATATATAAAGTATGAGGGGGGGTGCAAATCAAAAGTTTGAGGTGGGGGGGGGGTTGCAAATCAAAAGTCTGAGGTGGGGTGCAAATCGAAAGTTTGAGGGGGGTGCAAATCAAAAGTCTGTGCGGGATGTAAATCGAAAGTTTGAGGAGGGGGGTGCAAATCAAAAGTCTGAGAGGGAGGGTGAAAATCGAAAGTTTGTCCTCGGGTAAAAATTGGAATCCAACCCCTAGAGACGATCCTGGCTGCGCCACTGGACTAGACCTTTCTTAACTGATATTGTCGCCCGGGTCGCTACGCCTCTGTTGTGTATATCAGGCAACGATTGTTTAATACAATTTCAGACTGACTGGAGCCAGCTGCCGAACGAGATTCTGCTGAAAGTCTTCAGTTACCTGAGCTTTATATAGCATCATATACTGTCCTTTACTCACATCATATAGTATCATATACTGTCCTTTACTCACGTCATATAGTATCCTATACTGTCCTTTACTCACGTCATATAGTATCCTATACTGTCCTATACTAAAGTCCTATAGTGTCCTATAATAAAGTCCTTTAGTGCCCTATATTCACGCCTTATAACGTCCTAAAGTGTCCTATACTCACGTCCTATAATGTCCTATAGTGTCCTATAGTGTCCTGAATTGTCCTATAGTGTCCTATAGTGTCCATTAGTGTCATATAGTGTCCTATACTCACCTCATATAGTGTCCTATACTCAAGTACTACAATGTCCTATACTCACGTCCTATAGTGTCCTTTATTGTCTATTCGCACGTCCTACAGTGTCCTTTACTCAAGTCCTATAGTGTCCTATACTCACGTACTATGATGTCCTATACTCACGTCATGTAATGTCCTATATTGTCCTATATTCTAATGTCCTATATTCACGTACTATAGTGTCCTATACTCTACCACAATGTCTTATACTCACGTCCTATAGTGTCATATAGTGTTCTATACTAAAGTTGTACAGTGTCTTATACTAAATTGCTATAGTGTCCTATATTGTCCTACACTAAAGTCCTTTAGCGTCATATACTAAATTCCTGCAGTGTCCTTTACTAAAGTCCTATAGTATCCTATAGTGTCCCATACTAAATTTCTATAGTGCCCAATAATGTCCTATATTAAAGTCCTATAGTGTCCTATAGTCAAGTACTATAGTGTCCTATACTCAAGTACTATAGTGTCCTATACTCAAGTACTATAGTGTCCGATACTCACATACTATAGTGTCACATTATTTAGTGTCCTATAGTGTCCTACACTCAAGTACTACAATCTCCTATACTCAAGTCCTTTAAAATAGCAGTATAAAATAATAAACTCAAGCATTAAAATAATTTAGAAATGTAATGGTTTATGGATCAACCTTTTTAAAGATGATTACGAAGAGATTTTAAAAATATGTTTTTGCGTAAAATATTGTTTTCATTGAGACTACGGTTAACTCTAAGACTTACTTTGGTAAGCCAAACACACTGGTTTGCTGTGATAGTTCAAGTATTTCTGGAAAAAAAAAACTTTGTATTAATTGTTTTACGTTAATCTGTTAAATGATTTTTAATGAATTCAACTTTTTAAAACCATACGATCTAGCGATGTCTGGTGTTAAGTTTTTAAATGTTTTCGTGAGTGGCCGAAAATTCTAAAAAGAGCAGTACAGTCCGGTAAAAACAATACAATAATATTTGTATGACCACATTTTCTTTGAAAACATATTTCATGGAAACTCCGAGACTTATACGCTGAGGTTCATTAGGCACAAACTGTTTAGACAATCACACTTTCAGAGATTCGACAAAAACTTTATACAATTTCAGCCGGACTGGAGCCAGCTGCCGTACGAAATTCTTCTGAAAGTCTTTAGTTACCTTAGCAACAGAGACAAGTTCAACGCCGCCCTCACCTGCAAGTCTTGGCTCCGTCCACTCTCAGTGCCGTCCGTGTGGGAGTCCGGAGATTTTAATATCGACGCAGAGAGTGCTGATAAAGCAATAAGATTTATGAAAAAGGTTGGGAGATCATTGCGCCACATTCGTGCAGATTGTAGAGCCGGCGAGTACGATGTTTGGGGTAAGTCACACAAATAGTGGTTAAAATGTGCGTCTATGTACGAACCAGTCGACAACAAATGTACATGTGTACTGTCTTGGTTTTTAAAGGAGTCGGAGGCAGCTCATCCTGTACCGAGAAGTTGTACCAGTTTCTGGTCGACTTATTGAACTCAGGTAACAAACAGCTGTTGACCTTCAAGCTAACCAATATATACAACTTGGAAATCAGTTCCGGTAGAGACAAGCCCAGGTCATTCTCAGAAGTCGCTCAACTCCTGACCAAAGTTTTGGAGTACCAGCAGCAGCTTCGTGTCCTTGACCTTAGCAACAGCCAAAAGTCTGTCCAGAACTGTATTGAGGATAATCTTACCATGAAGCAAGGTCAGTGTTCACAGCCTAACTTCGGGGGTTTACAAATATTTGGGTGTTTCCTAGACAGTGAATAATGTTTGTCACTAGGTTGACCTTATTGTGGTGATATCTAGTCCTCACTCCAAGACATCAAACAATCATCATAATAAAATTCTCATTTTTCTCCATTCATGAATAAACTTTTAAACTATAAAGCAATTAAACTATTAAACCATACAAGTGAAAATCTTATTTTTATATTCCTAGGTATAAAAATGCTGAACGCTGTCAGTAGAAGCTGCGCCAACACGCTCCAAAAATTAGCGTTCCCCAGGCTCGTTAGCTTGAAAAATTCTTTTATTACTGATCTGAGACTACTGTCACAATTTCGAAGCGCCATCTCTAGTTTCAGCAAGTTGTCAGGTGGGGTGACCCGCCAACTGTGACAAGACCTTGACCTCCCAACTATAACAAAACCTTGACCTAATAAGACATTGAACTCCCAACTCTGACAAGATCTTGACCACACAACTCTGACAAGATGTTGACCACCAACTATAACAAAACCTTGACCTAACAAGACCTTGACCATCCAAATCTGACAAGACCTTGTCCATCCACCTCCGTTAAGAACTTGACCGCGCAGTTCTCTTAAGAATAAGGCTATGTGACGTAATAATTGACTTGGTTACTGCTCTTGTCAACTCACCATATGCCACATAACGAGAGATCTTGTGAATTCCAGACCTGGATCTGAGCTACGACTATTTGGAAAATGACCTTCTGCTCAGCTTGGCGAATACAAATACCACCCTCAAGGTGATCACAGTTCGTGCTGACGAAATCCCAATGATAGAAAGTCAAATAACCCCTCTAGCATGGGAGAAGCTTACATCGGCATGTCCCGAGCTCCGAGTCCTATTTTTCATCAAACCCATATCTGTGAGCTGTTGTTTAACAAAATGCAGAAAAAACTTTCAGTATAACAGTATTTTATAAATAACAAAAGAAATATAAACATTAATTTAATTTTGATATTTAAATGGCAAAAATTATAACACACAGCCGCTTTTACTATAGTAGCTAAACAAACTGCTTACGTTCTGTTTATTATTTTAGTAATAATTATAATTTAATATTTAATTGTAAAGTCTTGCACCTAACTCAGAAACTCCCTTTTAGGAGTCGTACTTCCAAGACGTGACAATGATCCTAACACCATCCATGCCGCTCTATCAAGTCAAGTGGAAATCAAGCAGTGTCATCGCTGTAGAGAACATAGACAAGTTCTTTCAACATCTGGGACAGAACTTTCAGGTGAAGGGGATGGGAGGGACGGGGGTATTAGGAAAACTAGTTGTTTTTTTTTTACATGTTTGTATTTAGCTAATAAACCGGGAGTGATCTCCCCTAAACTTTCTCGAATATTCTTATATAAAACAACAGGGGATGGGAACTCGGGATATAGACATGATTTTTAATCCATTTTAAATGCTTACAGTTTTAAAAATAGAATAAAATCTCGTAGACAAATTAATTGCACACCAAGTGTACGCCAAATAAAAATAGCACAGGTGCTTCAAATTTGGCAGGATTCTGCCTTGGGGCGACAGAACACAGGGGCCGGTGCCGGTTGGTCGAAAAGTCTACGAAGAGGGGGTCAAAATTGACCTCGACTGACCGGCGCCTTATATGAGCACTACACATAACAGCCAATCACTAATTAATTAAGCATTCAAATTCTCAGTGTTTTTGAAAACCTAAGCAAAGCTAGGCAGCCTGCCTAGTACTCATATAATCGTCTGTGATTACAGAAAACGTTACACCATCTAGAGTGCCGTACTGATGTCCCCATAGACACGGAACGCTTTGAAGTGTTGTTTAAGAGGTAAGTGAACTCTAATTTGTTCTACTTTTGGCTTTGATACTTTTCAATATGTTTTTTTGGTTCAAAATTAACTGTAAGTATAATAACATATTGCTTAGGGTTTACCAAGATTATATGCACACATTCTAATCGGTGTTTATAATAAGTTGGAAATATTTTTGATCAATGAGTCAAAGATAATCTTATAATAGTCACGGGTGGAGTAGAGTCAGGCACATATCCGAGCTGGGTGGACTAGAGTCTGGTACCCATCAGAGCTGGGTGGACTAGAGTCAGGTACCCATCAGAGCTGTGTGGTGTAGAGTCAGGTATCCATTAGCGCTGGGTGGAGTAGAGTCAGGTACCCATTAGAGCTGGGTGGAGTAGAGTCAGGTACCCATCAGAGCTGGGTGGACTAGAGTCAGGTACCCATCAGAGCTGGGTGCACTAGAGTCAGGTACCCATTAGAGCTGGGTGGAGTAGAGTCAGGTACCCATCAGAGCTGGGCGGACTAGAGTCAGGTACCCATCAGAGCTGGGTGGACTAGAGTCAGGTACCCATCAGAGCTGGGTGGTCTAGAGTCAGGTACCCATCAGAGCTGGGTGGAGTAGAGTCAGGTATCCATTAGAGCTGTGTGGAGTAGAGTCAGGTACCCATCAGAGCTGTGTGGAGTAGTCAGGTACCCATCAGAGCTGTGTGGAGTAGAGTCAGGTACCAATTACAGCTGTGTATACATAGGAACGTCCAAGAACACCGAGTCTGTACGCTCCGGGTCTGTACGCTCCGAGTCTGTTCGCTCCGAGTCTGTACGCTCCGAATCTGTACGCTCCGGGTCTGTACGCTCCGAATCTGTACGCTCCGAGTCTGTACGCTCCGAGTATGTACGCTCCGAGTCTGTACGCTTCAAATCTGTACGCTCCGAGTCTGTACGCTCCGAGTCTGTACGCTCCGAGTCTGTTCGCTCCGAGTCTAGGTGCTAGTACAGTGCTTGTCAACACCACGCGTACAACAGCATTGTATATGTAAAGTTATGATGTGTGTTATACATGTGTGTAATCTTTTAATTCATATGCTACCTGTGTGTCCACAGTATACAGCCGTGCACAAATCTGGACAGCCTCACACTAGGCTTGACCTCTTGTGTGATTGATGACGTGGAGATGTACAAGCTGGCCATCAGAGATGTCGTGAAGCGATGTCCATTGTCATGTGACCTCACTCTGAACGTCCAAGTCAAATAAAACTGGTCAGTCTGACACGGTTGGTGGGGTCAGGAGAGTTTGCCATGTTGGATCAGTTCACGAATGCTTTTTTTTTTATCGGCAGTAAAATAATATTGAGCGCATACGTTTCGGATTTTCTTATTTCTTCTGAAAAATACATTCGTTTCTGATTTTCTTATTACTTCTTTAAACTTTATTCGTTTTTTAGATCTTAAATAGAGGGTCAGTACTAGATCTATACTCCCAAACGATTTCGAGTTGCGACCCCCTTTTATAAAAAGTAAGTGACCCGCGACCCCCATGAAATTAAAAAGCCGAAATTAGTATGGAAATTAATAAGCACTAAAATAAGATTTTCTAAAAGACTTTTAATATGTAGACCTAATACTCTTGATAACTGTTTTAGTACGATGAGTAAAATTGCATGCTAGTAAATAAAGTTAAGTTATTGTTAACACCAACCTATGTCATTATCAACATTTAATTAATTTCTTATTTTGGTTTTTAATCGGAGAATAGTGTTGAAACTCTACTCTCGAAAAGTCAATCAATTTTACGTTTGGGTATGAATGGTGAATACTACACCAAAATTGTGTGTACAGTTTTTCATCTTACGCGGAATCATTCTGCAAATCAAAGAATTCATCTTGTAACTCATCGGGAATGCTCGTAAAATCAAAGGGTTACGAGAATGGGTAATGCGTCAATGCAGATTCTTCTTCTTTCAGCTCAGAAAAATAGCGTACCAGTTCGTTTTTAAGAGATTCAAGATGCCCAGAAATCGCTTCTTTCAAAATTTTAATTATCTCACAGTCAGATTCATCTACCACACGGCAGAGTTGATAAAAATGCCCCGAGATTATCATGGAAAGTTATAATATTCGTTCATTTTCCCTGAAGCTTCAGGTTAAGCTTATGTTGATGCTCGAATATATCTGCTTGGTATGATACTCTCTCCAACCACTCTATATCGTTTTAAGTATATCAAAAGGTCTTGTTTCCTTTGCAATTCCAAGAACACTTTGATTTCAGATTTTAATTCAAAAACACGATTCACAACAATTCGTTTGACAGCCAGCTTTCTGTAGTGTAGAAAAGCAGAATCTCGTGATTTATATTAATTTCTTTGCTCAGTTCTTTAAATGCTCCAGATTAAATATAATGTACGACTGTTACTAGCAATGGAGTCTTGATGGCGAGGGCATACTGGTGAATCACGCAGTGATTAGGGAGCTAAATCTTTTTAGCGACCCCCAGTTTGGGAACCCGTGATCTATAGCATGGACGCAAGCTGTTATAAAACAATAGAATGGGAGTCCATATTGCTATGATTATAGAGTGATGCTATAACTATTGCCAATATCAATGTTGACAGTCACAGTAGTGTTCGTGATAAATAAAAAGTCTGACAAAATCAAGCCTTGAAGGAAGGGAAAATCTAGGTTGACATCATTCAAATAAATGTTTATATAACGGTTACGGTCGCTGTGATGGTGCTTATGGTAACGCTCGTAGTTATTCTTCTTCGTTCTTTATTCAAGTATTGGAAGGGATCCCCTCAACCATACAGAAACCATACAGCCACCATACAGCCACCATACAGCCACCATACAGCCACCATACAGCCACCATACAGCTAGCATACAGCCACCATACAGCCACCATACAGCCACCATACAGGCACCATACAGCCACCATACAGCCACCATACAACCATCATACAACCACCATACAGCCACCATACAGCCACCATACAGCCATCATACAGCCACCATACAGTCACCATACAGCCACCATACAGCCACCATACAGCCATCATACAGCCACCATACAGCCACCATACATCCACCATACAGCCACCATACAGCCATCATACAGCCACCATACAGCCACCATACAGCCACTATACAGCCACCATACAGCCACCATAAAGCCACCATACAGCCACCATACAGCCATCATACAGCCACCATACAGCCATCATACAGCCACCATACAGTACAGCCACCATACAGCCACCATACAGCCACCATACAGCCACCATACAGCCACCATACAATAACCATACAGCCACCATACAGCCACCATACAGCCACCATACAGCCACCATACAGCCACCATACAGTACAGCCACCATACAGCCACCATACAGCCACCATACAGCCACCATACAGCCACCATACAATAACCATACAGCCACCATACAGCCACCATACAGCCACCATACAGCCACCATACAGCTAGCATACAGCCACCATACAGCCACCATACAGCCACCATACAGGCACCATACAGCCACCATACAGCCACCATACAACCATCATACAACCACCATACAGCCACCATACAGCCACCATACAGCCATCATACAGCCACCATACAGTCACCATACAGCCACCATACAGCCACCATACAGCCATCATACAGCCACCATACAGCCACCATACATCCACCATACAGCCACCATACAGCCATCATACAGCCACCATACAGCCACCATACAGCCACTATACAGCCACCATACAGCCACCATACAGCCATCATACAGCCACCATACAGTACAGCCACCATACAGCCACCATAAAGCCACCATACAGCCACCATACAGCCATCATACAGCCACCATACAGCCATCATACAGCCACCATACAGTACAGCCACCATACAGCCACCATACAGCCACCATACAGCCACCATACAGCCACCATACAATAACCATACAGCCACCATACAGCCACCATACAGCCACCATACAGCCACCATACAGCCACCATACAGCCACCATACATTCATCATACAGCCACCATACAGCCACCATACAGCCACCATACAGCCACCATACAGCCACCATACAGCCACCATACAGCCACCATACAGCCACCATACAGCCACCATACAACAACCATACAGCCACCATACAGCCACCATACAGCCACCATACAGCCACCATACAGCCACCATACAACCACCATACAGCCACTATACAGCCAGCATAGACGACTGCAGAATGATAGTTGTGTGCTCAAATGTTCTATTATAAATAGCTTTCTCAGATATGAGATACGTGGCTATTCTCCTCATGGAAATAAAGTTAACAATTTATACAAACTAGAGTTCAGTTTCATGATTCATGGACCCAAACCATATTTGTAATTCAACCATAAATACATGCTGTGACACTACTCTTTTCTATTGTATTTTTAAAAAGCGGGAGTGATCTCCCCTAAACTTTCTAGTATTTTACATTTTAATAAAACAATTAAAACAAGTTAATTAAAAAAGTCTAGTGACATTTGTGCGCAATTTCCTTATGTTATCTAAAAATAGCTCTGACGTATAATGTTAGGGTGCGTTCAAGCTAGAAGAACAATCGGTTTGTAGGTGTTTATGTAATTTTAAAATTTGTGACCGAACGAGAGAATATTTTTGAAAACTTTCTTCGGCAATATTGTTCTAAATTATGACAGGAATCGATTGGTACATGTTTCAAGTCGCTAAATGGTCTGGTTGCCCAGATATGGGCCAAAAACTGCTTTTTTTCGAGATTTTTTGGCTTTTCTGGGAAATCCATGAAAGAAACCCGGAATTTTTATGGCCTATGTTCATCCTCGTAACTTGCTTAACATAATTGCTTTTGGAACTAGTCATCGATATTGCTTCGTTGAGGAGGAGATACGACTTAAAGCTGCGGACACACATTCATCCATCCATCCATCCATCCATCCAGAAATGACGGGTTAATAAACGCAATTCTCCAGAATGGAAATTGCGCTAAAAACTTTATAGCAACACGCTTTTAAATGCACTGAAATTAAGTAAATAAAACTAATTTGTTTTATTTTATAACAGCTTTGGTCTCTCATGAGATCTTCTATATATTTTAGCGACTAAAGTTTTTTTGTCCCCACGATCGCATTACTTTATGTGTACTCTGTGTGCCAGTGGGGTAAAAACAATTTTTTCAAGAAAACCAGATCTTTTTTTTTCCTACTGCTATGCATATAACTTTTTACCTGCTTTAACTGCTTTTAAAAACATGACCAGCAGTGGCGGAGCACGAAAATTAAGTTTATTTATCGATATTTTTAAAGTGATGATTACAGCAAACAGGATGATACCGAAATAAATATGTTTATGGTGTAAAATAAAGATACACAGTCTAGACTTATTATCAGCATAGTTTTTTAGGGCGGCAGGCATAAAACAAACACAATTAGAATCATAAATATTATTAATTAAAAAGTAAATATCTATTTATAAATTTCATTCCTTTGTATAGTTAGCAATAAATACTTCTATAAGATGAGCTGGATTAATACAGTATCAATAGCACGACATGATCGAAGATATAACATACAAGTATCCAAGACTAAAAAAAATCACTGACAAACAAATAAACCCGAAAAAAATTAACAAAAGTTCAAATATGAGTTTCTTGGGATATATCTATTTTAGGAATATATTCCATTTATGTCTCACAAGCAAGATTGAGATTTTCTGCCATAGTTAATTGCAGTTTTAAATGTATACTACTGCTTGCTGTATTTACGATTTAGTCTGACTAAATTATTGTGAATAAAAGGTGGTCCTGGTTGAGCGCACGATTGCCAATCGGAATATATCGAGTAATCAGGCGCAACCTACCTCATTCATGATACTTACATTGTATGAGAAACTAGAGGTGCCCAGCTAAAGAACTGATCACACTATAAACCTAGAGAGTATGTCGACGAAGGCTGTATGAGGTGAACACAGTGTAAGTGTAATGACTAGTAAGTGTTTGTTTCGTATTTTTTTGTGCTTGGTGAAAATTAAAGAAAATGATACAGATTTTATTTGTGGAATGTGTTTTCACAAGCTTTTATTTAACTCAATGTCTCTATCTGTCGTCTGTTATTAGTCTAGATCGAAACACTAGAGTAACATTTCGGGCACTTCTAGCTGATAAATTCCGTTCAAAATTGGCAAGTGGGTCAAGACATAAAGACAATGCAATCTGATATTACGTTTGACTCAGTTGGATGCCTAATTAATTTTTTTATAGATTAATTAAAATTTTAACCAAATTAGTATGCAGTCTTATTCAACTATTTCGCACTATTGTACGCTCTTTATCATAGTT